AACCATAAACAAAGACATTTGATAAGCGTTTTAAATCGCAATGTTTTGTTTAATTTGACATTTATATATAAAAATCTTAATTATTTATATTATTTTTCATACTTTTGTACGCAAGTAAGTCAGAAATTATTATTTCAGACTCATTAAATTCAATTGAATGCAGATAAAAATTACTTTAATTTACTTTAAAGTTTCATACATTTATTTATGTTTTCTCAGCAAGCTAATTGAAATAAATTTGTATTTACTTAAAAAAAAAAATAAATAAAAACACTGCCATTTATTGACATATTACAAAACAATATTAAAATGCTTGCATTAAGTGCATGTCATAGATAATTTAATTAAAATTTGAGTTAAGCACTTGATGCAAAAAACGAGAAGAGCAACCACATAGTTAAACAAAACTGATGTGTTTTTTATAATTAGATTTTTATTAGTTATTTGGTTGCAGCCACAGTCGAAATGGCAGACAGATTGAGTCGTCCTTTCGCTTAGCTGGAGCAGCAGCTGCATAGCTAAGCGCATTGCAATGGACGCATATTGACAGACTGACCGCAGTGGCTGGCCACTTGACTGTCTGCATTGAAGTGCTTGGCTTTGATAAAGCGCCAGCACACACACACACACACACGGACACACACACACGGACATACGCACATACATGTATACTCACACACACATGTACGATGTGGAGTGGCTTGTAAACTGAACATGTTTGTAGCTGCCGCTAAGCAGATAAGCATTTGAGTGCTTCAAAGCACAAACATACACACACACACACACACAAACCACACACTCACAACTATATACATATATAGATTTATATATATTTTACCGCTGGCGTTCAGACCGTGCGCTCAGCCATTCGCATTATGTTGAAGGCCCCAGCTAATTAGTTAAATTGAAATCAAATTATTTGTTGTCGCACTTGACTGACCACTGGCATGGGCGCCTTAATTAATACACACATTCACACACACTGGCATGGTCGGTTCTGGCTTTGCAAGATTACCCTTATTATGCTATGTTTGTGTGCCCCTTGAAAATTTCACAGCCTTTCACATGGCGTATGCGCAACGCCGCAGTTTGCCCAAATCTGGAGCTTAAACTTTTTGGGGTCCTTAAGCTGGTGCTTCTGAAATTTTCGTCTCGAATTTTTCTATTATTTTTTAATAAATTGCAACGCTCGCATATTTTCGCGCTTTTCTATTTTCGTCTCTTTTTTTTTTTTTTTTTGGCGTCCGCTTCACTTGGCCAGACGCTGGCAACTGGCGACGTGTCGTGAAACGCTTGTTGCACCCCACCAACAAAAGATTCTCGATGTCGATGCTGTTGTTGTTGTTGGGCTGGCAGCTTCGGTTTGCCAGCGGCATTGGGGCTGCCACGTTGCCACACGCTTATCCAGCGTCATCAAACGATGTCGACAATAACGGCGACGCCAATGCCTTTTGTATATATATAAATATGTATATGTATATA